GGCCATGTCTGGTACATCCTGGAGGGCAAAGGACATCCCAGTGTCCCCTGGCAGGTAGAGGCCCAGGATACTGCTGAATCTCCCACAGCAAGCAGGACACAGCCCACCACACAGTTAGCTGCCCCCAGAAGCCAGCTGTGCAAAGCCTGAGGGGCCTGCTCCAGCAAGCAGCAGCTGCCCCAGTCCTGCCCACCCTGGACTGTGCAGAGCTGTCCACCGGGCGAGGCAGAGCTCCACCAAGCTGCCCATTGGACTGTGACCTGGACCATGCGGTGGCACTTCTTGCCCTTCATGCCTAGATCCTGACATGGCTCATTTTCCACCATAGCGCGTCCCTGGCAACAAAGGCCCTGGCCAGGGCCACGGCCCCAGCCAACAGGCCACCTCCACCCGACAACGCCCCTGTCTGCCAAGGCACCTCTTTGCCCCCAGTCCTGTGGGCACACCAGCCACAGGACTGTGAGCGCATGCCCCACACCTGCTACATCTCGTGAGACTGCTGCCCAGCTCCAAGGTCAGTGTGCTTGGTGCAGTTCCTCCAGATCCATCATACCGCAAGACTGAAGTGGGGCCTGCCTTTTCACTGTTTTATCACAAGTATTGTGATTTAACAGTAAATCTTTAGATTTGTTACACAGCACAAGAATTAAACACACACACAGAACTAACAGGCACTAATGGAGACGTGACATGAGAAAACAGCAAGTGTGCTACTGGCCAGATCTATAGCAGGACAGATGCTCATGAAACCTCAGCTCAGCTGTCTGAATCCATCAGAAGGCCAACAAGAAAAGGTGGGTAGAGTTCTAGGGGTAAGGAGCTTAAGTACAAACAGGAGCCATGGGGACCACACCAGGCTTTAAGCAACGCAGAGCCCAAATGAGACCAGCATGCTACACACTTCCTCCAGCTCAAGAGCTGACGTCGGGAGACAGGCAGCCCTGGACGGGCAACAACGTTAAAGAGAGCTCGTCAGCCATCCAACAGAGGGACAGACCCAACAGAAAGAGCGGCAGGAGGGTGAAAAGGAGGGAGCAGTTGGGAAATATTTACAACTGCTCCAAAGAGATTCAGGACATCAATTGACTGGGGGTGGCTTTAAAGGGAGACATTCTTTTAATAGTGCAAAGTTTTGGTGTGAATGACTAAATAAATCATGCACAGATGCGATATGAAATGTCAGAAAAAAATAGGTTTCAATGAAACAACCCTGACTGTTGTGGACATGAGCCTGACGAGCTGCATAAACAGAGGGCAACGGAAAGCACTGCCCGGAGCTTGGGAGAGGAGACGGCTGCAGACACAGCCTCAGCACACGCACCTGAGGCGAGCGCCACAGCCCAGGGAAACAGGCAGGGAGAAGTGCCGAGGAGGAGGGGCCCCTCAACAGGGCCGTCCAGAGCGCAGCAGGAAGAACAGGACAGTGTCCCTCAAACATCAGATTCCAAGCAGACAAGGCAGTGTCTACCACCCTAGGGAGCAGGGGCCACCTGCAGAAGAGGACGGAACAGGAGGCCAGCACTGAGGGCTCCTGGGCCGGCAGCACTTCCTGGAGAAGACGGCTGTGGACAGACAGGGAGGGCAGACATCCCAGGCCATGCCAGGGTGTGGAGGAGCGCTGTCGTCAGCTTCCTCCAGGGCGAGCACAAGTCCTGGCCACAGTGGTGCTAACTCTGTGACCTGGGCAAGCCTCCTCTACCCAACCTCATTTCTCAGCTGCAAGAGGGCTCATAAGTGGCTACCTACTGTCCCGTGAGGATTAAGATAGTGACAGAAAGCTTCCAGGGCCAGATTTTTGTTTTAATATTTATTTTTTAGTTGTAGTTGGACACAATACCTTTATTTTACTTATTTATTTTACAACACCTGGAAACATCCGCAGCCGCGGAGGCCTGCGGTGTCTGGCAGCCTCTTTCAAGGGCTGGTTTCCATAGCCACAGGGCAGCACCGTGACCCTGTAATGCAGAACCATGGTGTCAGATAATGACCCCCCACTCTTTCAAAGCCCCTCCTCAGAACATCTATCTTCTGATCCTGAGGGCTGAATAATCACATCCAGGTCAAAATAACATGCCTTACCTGGTAGAGAAGTGGCATGGGAAGGGTCCCCATAGTGTCCGTGATGAGGAGGAGAAAGGCCGATTCCTGGCTGGGACTGAGAGTAAGGAGGTGTGGCCACATAACCTTGTCGGCTCATTGTGAAAATATCATTCCCAAGCTAGTTCTAGAAAAGAGCCCTGCAACAGAAAAACACTTATCAACAGAGGGTTTTAGTTACTAAATATCCAAAATACAGACACTGCTAATAAGTGACAGTTTGAGCTTAGGCAGAAGGACCAGGTGGCACGTCACACCCTAAAGGGCAGCCAGAGTCCTCTGAAACTCAGGAGCATCACTTCAACAGTCGTGGGCCAATTCTCAGGCACAACACCTGGAAACATCCGCAGCTGCGGAGGCCTTCGGTGTCTGGCAGCCTCTCTCAAGGGCTGGTTTCCATAGCCACAGGGCAGTATCATCTCGTGCAACTGGCCAACCACTGGCTGCCAGCCGGCTGTATTCACAGGCTTTTTAACTCAAATCTGTATAGTGCTCTTCTAACCAGCAATTATAACCTGGTAGTTCTGACAAAGAGAAGTCAGCCCAGCAAATACAGCAGAAGATAAAGTTGGTCATGGCCTTATTTTGTGAGTCATGATTTGGCCAAGCTGAGAGGCAGCTATACCATTTCAAAGTTACCAGTGGTTTCTCAGTAGAAGACAGAATTTCTGTCTGATTTAAATGATATCACACTTCTAAGAACATAGCATCTGTAAGAAAAAAAGTGTAATTTCATGTGTGTGTAGGCATAAACACTCCCAAATGTAACAGAACCATCTCAAGTCTCTCAGAACCCCAACATTGGTTTGCTTTAAATTTTTCATTTTCCCAGGTTTTCACATAAGAGACAGTTCATAGGACTATTTTCAAAAAGAATTTTATAACAAGGCAGAAAGTGTTCTAAATCCTGCCCCCAAAAAGTGAGTTTTCAATCCATGTCTTTAATACTTAGCTGTGTGACATGGTATGAGAGGTACCAGCCTCTGCTCTTTTAGAAAAGACCCCCCCCCCCCCGTCCTTTTGAGATGCACAACCCTGGCTCTGCAGTTTCTCTCCAGTGTCTGTACCCAGCATGGGCACGTTGTTCCTTTTGCTCTTATTCAGTGCCTTTTAAGGTAAAGGTTGGTGATACCTGCTAAGACTTGGAATCTGTCTATGTCCAGGAATGACATTCAAATTTAAAATCTGAAGCCCAAAGTTGGTGATTTGGTTGCATTTTCAGGTTAAAATATAAGTTTGTAAAATCAAAGCAAACAAGTAAAAAATATGAGATGGCTTTGTTCTTGGACTGGCAGAAAGAGAGAGGCAACAGGTCTCTGGTCAGCTTTGTGGACCACGGCTCTTTCCCCTCCTCCCACACAGTGGAGAGAGACGTGGCAGGCTGGGCTTCCTTCCCAGACTGTAGGAAGCAAGTGGCTGGATACACCCTCCAGTAGCCCCCAGCTGGGGAGAAAAGGGGACAGGGGTGTTCTCTGGAGAGCGTGGAACCCCAGCCTCAGCTGGCCCTGGGAGGAATTGCTTCCTCCCCGCCCTTGCCACGTCAAACTTCCTCGCACCCCACAGAGTCCAGAAACCTGACTCAGCTTCAAGTGGCGACGTGGCAGAAAGCCACCTGGCACAGATGGCTTGGGGTCAAAACCTGGGCAGCTGCAACCCGGAGAGACCCCAGCCCCCTGCCTAGCCGTGTGCATCTCTCACCCTGGAACAAGATCGGGACTTGGTCGTGTTGCCATCCAGACTTCGTGAAGCTCAAGGATACAGTTGCCATTTCTACTAAGAACACCTCTAACGCGTTCTTCCTCCAAGAAGGAGTAGACTAAGTTAATACGGGAAGAGAACGTCCAGCGATCACACTGGAGGACATGGCCACAGGACTCACCAGGCAGCTTCCTCGTCCAAGGTACGGAGGGACAGGTGAAGTGCCCGCCCCCTGCCTCTGCTGGCCTCCAACCAGCCTGAAGACCACAGGCGGAGAGCGCCCCTCCCAGTCTGCACAGAAGTCCAGGGAGTATAGGTCCCTCCTATCCCTCCCCAGTGTCTACACCCGGCCGGAGGACCATCAGGCTGAGCAGATCTCTCCCCATCATCTCTAACTTGCCTGAGGACCAAGGACACCTGTGCCCCGCCATCATTTCTAACCAGCCGGGGGACCGCGGGCAGTGGGTGTCCCCCGGCCCCCAATCTGTGGGAGGGCCACCGGCTGAGCGGGTCCTTCCCCCAGCCCCTGTCTTACTGAGGGCCACCGGCTGAGCGGGTCCTTCCCCCGGCCCCTGTCTTACCGAGGGCCACCGGCTGAGCGGGTCCTTCCCCCGGCCCCTGTCTTACCGAGGGCCACCGGCTGAGCGGGTCCTTCCCCCGGCCCCTGTCTTACCGAGGGCCACCGGCTGAGCGGGTCCTTCCCCCGGCCCCTGTCTTACCGAGGGCCACCGGCTGAGCGGGTCATTCCTCTGGCCTCCAACCTGACTGAGGACCGGCAGGATGCGTCCCTCCCCAGTCCCCCAACCGAGGACCACCGGGCTGGGCGGTTCCTCTCCTGGCCTCCAACCTGCCTGAGGACCACCAGGCTAAGCGGGGGTCCCTCCCGCCGCCCGCGAGCTTGGGCCGGGGGCAGTACCTGAAGCTCGGCTTCTCGCGCCGGCGACCGCTTGCCAGCGCCTTTCCTGTTGGAGTCTCCCCTCCCGGCGCCCGAGCCGCGCGGAGCTGGACTGCCACGTCAGACCCGCGGCTCAGCGTCGCGGGGCTGGACCAGCGCTCCCCAACGCGCACGCGCAGGGTCCGGGGGCGGAGCCACGAGGGCGGGGCCATGTGGAGGGCGGGGCCACCGAGAGCGGCACGACCGCCGTCGGGGCGAGGCGGCCCGGCCGTCAGGGCGGGGACCTGGGGCGGGGCGGGGCGGGGCCGCCGAGAGCCGCCAGACCTGGGTCGGTGCCGCCTGGCGGTCGGGGCCGGGACCTAGGGAGGGGCGGGCCACCCAGAATCGCCGGGCGGCGGGATGGGTGGCGATGGCCTGGCGCCCTTCTTGCTCTTCTTCTCGCGCTTTCCCGGCTTTCGCGGGTTCTCCCCGCCGGCGTCCCACCCCTCTGCACGCCGGGCCTCGGTGGCGTTGCCCGGCGGAGCCCGGGGCCGGGCGGGCGCACAGGCCGGCCGAGCTTCACCGGCAGGCGGCGCTGCGCCCGCGCTCTGCGGCCTGGGGCGGCCCTGCCGGGCTTCTGCGTGGGGCTGCTGCAGCGGTGCCTGCACCCGGTGTGCGGGACACGGATGGCGCCCCGGCCAGGAGCCTCAGCCGCGCGGAGTCTGCGCCCCCGGGAGACGCCTGCCCCGCGGCTGGCTGGAGGCCGGACCACCGCGCTGTCAGCAGAAGGTCTTCAGCCCATCGATTTCGCTGCCCTGTGCGCTACTCAACGTTTACAAAACAGTCCGCACTGGGATTTGTTTTTCAAAATGTGCTTTCTTCTGGGCTACCGAAAATTAAAGCTACTACACATTCCTTGCTGATGCGCCACTAGGTAAGACTCATAAGGGAACACTGCGGAGGTGACAGAGGAATTGTGCAGGAATTTTAAGTCAGTTCAAGCTTCTGGCTCCTTTCCCCGCTCCATGAGATTTTAAGCGATGGTGACCACTCTCATGGCTTCAGCATTGACGAGGCTTGAAAATCCGTGCTAAAGTCTTGTTTTGCTTCTCCTATTCCTCATAAGATGGATTTATGAAGTCTGGCTTGCATGGCTTGTAAGAGTGCTGGTGGAGGTGCTCATGTCACAGTTCAGCTCCGAGAGGAGGACGGCTATGCCAGCAAGGGTGGGAAGCATCGGGCCTCTTGATGGCTGGCCTGCTCACTGGCCCTGCACAGCTGTCTGGATTGTAAATTCATCCTCAGCCCTGGCTCAGAGGCCCACTGTCTGACACCAGGACTGGCAGCTGTGGTTTCCAGTTCCTACATGGTGACGCTGGAAAAGACTTTAAATCAACTCCATATTCAGTGAGCATTGAGTGTGAACTAATCATTCAGTAGGTTAACAGACGGCGGCTCCTTCAGAACATAAAATGAGCCACTATTCTTAAAGCTAGTTGGAAGTCATGCCAGTGCTTCCTGCCCACATTCACCTGTTCGTTGGCACTTTGGTGTCCCTCCAATCTGCTGCTTCCCCCATCTTCTAGGACTGTGTGACATCTGAGCTCTGGACTTACTGAGGTGCTGCCTGGCCGTATGGTTTCACCAGCAGCTGGAGTGCTCAACACAGTCCTCTTGTTCCTCTGAAATGGCCACTGGGCTTCAGTTTGCTTCCATTCTCCTGGCCCCAAGGGCTCACCTCTTTTATGACTGACCTTATTCCTGTGGTGGCCACTGCCTTCCACTGTGAGGGCCAGGTGATTTCTCAGCCTGCCACGGGCCACCAGCCCTATTGCCAAGCCTCTGACATTCCCTGTGCAACCACTCCATCACCCAGGTAACCACAGCCTGACAGCAGGTGGGTCAGGTGGGTCAGGGAAGGCAGGGTCCTGGTCCCTGCCCTTCAGGGTCCTGCTCTAAGCTTTAAAGGGGAAAGAAAGCAGAACAAGTGAGCATAAGACTACATGGAAAGAGAAGTGGTTCCCTGACAGCACTCAAGATTCCTTCTCATGGGCCTCTGAGGTCAGAGCCCAGGTGCTCTAAGCATTTATGGAGCTCAGTCTGGAGTTTCTAATTCCATAATTCCAAAAACAGTTTTGAAGAAGCTTTTTTTTTTCTCCATTATGTAAGGTCCTTGGTAAGCATCTGGAAGGCCATCTTAAATGACAGCCCCCCTTTTAAGAAGAATTTTACTTTCCCACCCAAGGGCTTTTCTGAGAAAGGCTCACTTCTCCCTCATACCAACCCCACCCTTCACCACTGGCATGAGGACTGGCCTGGCTCTAATCCCTGAGCCTGCCCCATAAAAGTCCCAAACCCAGGCCTGTTTTGCCTCTCTCCATCTATGGAGAGATGGCCTTTATTTATTTATTTATGGAGAGATGGCTCTGATAAATAAACTCTCGTGTGTGTCTCTGCCTGGTCTCTGCTTTCATTTCTTGCTTGCCTGTCTCCCAGTTCCTCACTTTCCTGACATTGGTACCGAAACCCAGGATTGGGTTCCCCAATGTGCCCGCTCCCCTCTTTGAGGTCACTAAGCATCCCTAGGCCCCAGTTTGAATTCCATCATGGGACCAGGTCCTCCATTCTGCTAAATGACCTCTCTGCACCCACCACTGGACATTGCACATAAGACAGCTGTCTCCAGTTAACCTAAAGGATTCTTGAAACATTCGGCACTCCCAGGGTTACTGTGTGGTCTGGGGCACCCCAGCCACAGCTTCACAGCTACAGCTGATCCCTACTGTCAACCGAGTCTATAGGTCATCTTTTATTTGGGTCCTGGGTTTTGAGCTCTCTCTCACCCTGGACCTAACCCCCCCCAAAACTTATCCACTTGTGCAATCAGATGTGGCCTCAATATCTTGTGGATAATGACTCTACATGGCTGCTTAATGGCACTCTAGATCCCAATATTATCAGGGATCTTTTCAACTATTGTGAGCATTCAGGAAAATGGAAAGAGATATCATACATTCAGGCCTTCTCCTTTCTATGTTCTGAGCCCTCTCTCTGCAACTCTTGTCCTCACGCACAAGTCCTCTTAGCTCTCACCTACCCTACGCCTGCCTCCAAAGGGACAGAAAATCCTACCCAGGACACCTCCTCCTTCAACCTAGCAGATGAGCCCTCACCATGGCACAACCCTCTTTCTGATGAAGCCACCGCAGCAATTGTCCCCTCGGCCCCTCCATCCTTTCCTCTTGGTACTGACTCATGGGCTGCCACTGCCCAACCCGCATCTCTGTGCCCTCTATGCAAGCTGGCTGGGGTAGATGCTGTCATCCGGTTCATGTGCCTTTCTCTTTGTCAGATCTTTCACAGATAGAAAAGTGGCCTGGACCCTATACTTCAAGCCCCCCCACATATATCAAAGAGTTCCAATATCTGACCCAATCATATGATTTAACCTCCCACGATGTCCATATGACCTTGCCTAACACCCTCCTGCCTGAGGAGCACAGGAGAGTCTGGGAGCAAGCTAGAAATTATGCTGATGAGGTACATCAGCCCTCCCCTGCCCATCCGATGGGCACTGAAGTGGTCCCTGATTGGGACCCCATCTGGGATTATGATTCACCTGGAGGAGTAACTAGTAGAAACCAACTCATTACTTGCCTCATGGCAGGACTTAGAAAGGCGGCCCATAAGGCTATCAATTATGAAAAGCTCCAGGGAGTCCTCCAAGTTAAGAATGAAACTCTACATTTTCAGACCCCCTGACCCAGGCTTTATTACAGTACACTAATCTGCCTCCTGACACTCCAGATGGGAGACCACTACTAATGACCTACTTTTTCTCCCAGAGTTTTCCCAATATTAAGGCCAAACTAAGGTGCCTCGAGAGGGGACCCCTAACTCCCCGAGCTGGGGTCCTGGGTGTGGCCTTTAAGGTGTGTAATGGGAGAGACGAGAAGGCCTGGAAGCAGAAATATCAGATGCTCGCTCAAGCTGTCCGTCCAGCCTCAGCATCTGTCCCTGGTTCCACTGGCCCTTGGAAGGTCCCTTGGGACTGCCTGGACCCTGTTTTAAATGTGGTCAGATGGGTCCCTGGGCTTGCACATGTCCTAAGCCTCACAAGCTTCTGGGCCCTTATCCTAAGAACCATCAGGGGGGACCCTGGGTCATTGATTGTCCCTGAGTCCATAATGGCCCCTGGCCACCCGGCTCTTCTGGTTCTCCTTTCCAACTCTCAGGACTGGCTACAGAGAATCAAGGAGGCCCGGGTCCCCATCACCGGACACTGCCATCCCTCCACGGGAACCCAGGGTAGCTGTGCGGGCCTGTCTCCTTCCTCCTGGACTCCAGGGCTACATATTCAGTCCTCAAGGAGTTCTGGGGCCTACTAGCAACCCTTACAGACACCTGGCTTTGTTTGTGCCTTGGGCTCTCTAGTTTTTACCCTCTCCTTTTTGGTCATTCCACAGTGCCCTGTTCCCCTTATGGGAAGGGACATCCTCACAAAGTTGGGGACTATGCTTTCCTCCTTCCCTCATATTCACTTCCATCCAGACCCCCTGCCGCTCCCCTGACCCTCACCCTGACCTTAGGACCGTCCCCGATTCCACCTGCCAGTGCCCTTCCCATTGCCTCCTTCTGAGGTGGACCCTACTGTCTGGGATGCTTCACACCAGGAGCCCATTCAATCATTCAAGACCCCCTCCCTTTTCTGCCCAGTCACAATGCCCACTCTCCCTCCTTGCTGCTGCGTCCCTCCCCTTCGCAGAGCAGCCTGTCAGGCTCCTGACACAAGCCGCTTCTTAGCCCAGGCGTGTGTGTGACTAGTCCTGGGCACTTGTCTTCACTGATGCCAGTGACTCCATCATGTTCTCCCACCAGCTTTGCTCTCCCCTCCGGGGATCGGAGCTGCTTTGGGACCCTGGCCCGAGGGCCCAGGACAATGACCACACACCTTCCTCCATTCACGCAGCACCCTTCTTCATCCCCACGCAGGCCTCATCTGGGTAAGTGACTTTGCCCCTCCCCTCCACTCCTAGAGGCGGCAGTGACAAGTGTCCTCTCTAGAACTTAGATCTTGGCCCAGCACCAAGATTCTCGCCCATTCCTTTACCTTGGCGAGTTCACTCTCAGGTCTTGGTTCTCAGCTCCTGAGCACAGCTCGTGGAAGCCCTGGTCTCTTTGTCAGATCTTTCACCAAGCAACCAAGACTCTCTATGGGCAGAGACCAGGACTAGGGAAGTAGTGGGTGACTCCCTTCTCTCAGTCCCAGACTCCAACTCGCCATGGGAAACCCCCAAGTCCCATCTGACTCTCCTCTCAGCTGCCTCCTGGCCCACCTCCTTGCCCACTTAGCCCGACTCTGTTTGCTCCTGATCTAAAGGCCCATGGACCAATTCAACCTTCCAATCTTCATGACTTTTGTGAGCGCTCAGGAAAATGGAAGGAAATCCCTATGTGCAGGCTTTCTCCTTTCCCCACTCTAAGCCTTCCCTTTGCTCCTCCTGCTCCCCAACCCACCTTCTACCTGCCACTAAAGCTCTGGATTCCTCCAGAGACCCTACTTCTAGGCAAACAAGGGACCCAGAGCTCTCCTACCTTGTGAAGCCGTAGGCAGCCATCTCCCTGGCCACGGCCACACTGAAGCTGACATTGAAATACGAAGGACAGACTCAGCTTGGTGAGAGGCCTAAGGGGAAAAGGTGTCAATTTAACTTTTCCCTTGGCTACAACACGGGAGAATGACTTCAAAACCCTCTCTATCTCCCTATCTTACAAGCACATTTCACCTTTACATAGCTGAAGAGGAGGGATTTGCTCTAGGAGTCCTCGGACACAGGCTGGGGCCAACCTTTGCCCCTGTGGCTTAGCTATTGAGGGGTCTTGACCCTACTGTTCAGGGAAGGGCCCCTTGCCTACCAATGTTGGCCGCAGCCTCTCTACTCATTCATGAGTCGAAAGAAACAGACCTTTAGTGCCCCACTCACCTAAAGAGTCTCCTCACCTACCAGGGCTTACGTTCCTTACCCCCCAGTGGCCATTTATCTCTACAGGTTTCCCTGGTGGAAGTTCCCAGTCTTATTCTCCACAGTGCTCACCTTTAAACCCTGCTACTCTCCCCCCACCCCTCAGGACTCTCCCACCTCTCCTCTCACCCATTCATGCATTGGAACTCTGGAGGAGATTCTCCCACACCCCTCCCACACACAGGAAGGCCCCTTGCTCCAGGTCATATACACATGGCCCACAGATGGCTCCTCCTTCCTGCAGGAGGGAGTCCGTGGGGCAGGGTCTGCTACACTCTAACCTCGGTTGTGGAAGAGCTTCCTCCCCCAAAACACATCCAATCAGCAGGCTGAACTGGTCGCCCTCACCAGAGCCTTCACTTTGGCAAAGGGAGCCTCCCTCCATGTCCACACTGACTCTAAATACCCCGTCCACATGCTTCTGTCCCACTCTGCTATCTGGAAGGAGAGCGGATTCCTTACCACCAAGGGAACTTCATTACTAATGCCCCCTGTATCTCTGATCTCCTTTAGGCCTCAGAGCTTCCCACTGCCATTGTGTCTGAAGGATGGCAGCTAAGAACCCCCTTCTCCAGTGGACACTTCCTTTCCTGACCTCTCTCCTTGCCACAGGCCTTTTGCTAATGCTTGCCCCCTGCGCCATTAGATGTATTCAAGATGAGGTGCCAAGGATCTCTAACCAAACTGTGAACCAGCTTCTGTCACAGGACTTCCAACCCCTCACCAAACTTGGCCATCCAGAGTCAGGGTCGCCCAGCGCCTCCCGCCCTCTCCACTGCCTCCATGACACCCCACACCCCTCACAAGGGTCCAGATGCTGCCCCTTCCCAGCAGGAAGAAGTAATAGAAGATCCATCTATGCCCCTGTCCCTTAAGGGACCCAATAACAAACAAAAAGCGGGTGGGGGGAGGATGTAAGGTCCTTGCTTAGCTTCTGGAAGGCCATCTTAAGTGACAGCCCCCATTTTTTAAAAGGTATTATTTTTTTTAAGTATTTATCTTTAGTTGGACAAAATACCTTTATTTTATTTATTTTTATATGGTGCCGAGGATCGAACCCAGGGCCTCTCATGTGCTAGGCACACACTCTACCATTGAGCCACAACCCCAGCCCAGTAAAACGTATTTTTTTTTATCCAGTTTTTCCTTTTTTTAATTGATTTATTTTTAAAAAAATACAGGACAACAGTGGAATGCATTACAATCCTTATTACACATATAAAGCACAGTCTTTCATATCTCTGTATATAAAGTACGTTCACACCAATTTATGCCATTATACATGTAATTTTTTTGCATTACAATTCTTAATATACATATATACCACAATTTTTCATATCTCAGTTTGTATATAAGGTATGTTGACACCCAATTCAAGTCTTCAGACATGTACTTTGTATAATAATGACCACCACATTCCACCATCCTTGCTA